GCTGAGAATCATTGGAGAGTATTACAGTTCTAATTGGGTGATATCTACGTTCTATCGAGAGGATCAGCGCCACTGGTATATACTATGGGAGTATTACAGACATATTTGGGGACTCTGATTCCCTCTGTGATGCCTGCATAATCGAAGGGAATGAAAAAATGGGTATAATATAAGGATCAAAAGGGAATCATGCGGGTATAAATGCCCATGACCAGGGCATCAGGAGAATCATTTTGGTTTTCAGTGTTTATTAAATAACTACCTTCCGTTTCCCAGTAGGCAGTAGTTCATGATATGCTGACTCTTCTTGTGCTTCAGCATGGTGGATGTTATTCCTCTAAGTCTCCAACTTTTATTAAATAAATTTAAAAATAAAAAATGAATGACCCATGCTTGCAAGCCCCAAAGGCCAAAGTATGTACAGATGGAGTTTTACTTGTAGATACCTATCTGAGGATGAAAACCACAGAGCAGCTAACCTTTGTTTACTGTGATCAAAAATGGTCTGATAAAGTTGGCATTTTAAGACAAATTAAGACAAAGTTCAGAATGCAGTACCTATTGTTTGTTCAAATAGCACTTAAAGGTAGTGTGCCACCTTTGAAAGATTTCCCGTTTTATTTTTCCTAGGATAAGAAGCTTCTGTTTTTACCTAATATCGCAAAAAAAAAATCAAAAATGGGCCTGGAATAGTGCCTTTTTCGCCTAAAAGTTTATCGGTTTTTAGATATGTATAACAACTGTAGTGGGCTCACCTGCAAACAGGCGTCGGGCAACAATCGCGAATGCGGCGCACTTGTGACAATAAGCAAAGGTCATTATAGTGTTACGACCATACGACGTACGGGAATGAGTTATCAGCTGTCTAATCGTAGACAACACAATGTCGAGCCTTAAACTGTAAGCCTGTATTGGTATTGTTTCTTAAATTTGGCTGTCGAACATTAATTTGTGGTTTGAAATATGATTTTATGTAAAATAATTGATATGAAACAGCCGTCTCTTAAGTTATGACCCCATTACACCACACGCAAGTGGCAGAAATGACAATGATCAGCTGACGCATTTTCTTGGCCGAAGTCAGAGCGCGCGGCCCGACGCACCACGCGTATTTGGAAATTCCGACCTCGACGAGCATCAGAAGCCACCTAACAGGCGTGTTCGAAACCGCAGGAGATGATGATGAACGGGTTTATCGAAACTTGATTGGATGAGTCTATCGGTAATAGCGATTTTAGTGTGTGCATTTATTGTTCATAGTGGTGTGAAATGTGGTTGGGGTACGACCGACAACCCGTCGGGGCGAATTTCGCACTGGGGTACTCAAAATTTGAAGAATTTAAGACGTTTCCATAAGTTTTGAAGGTATGGATAAGTTCTAAAAATCCGGTTCTCCTTATCCGGGTCATTAACTCCATATGGTCCAGGAAAGCTGGCACACTACCTTTAAAGTGAGTTATGATCCTAGCAAATTTATAAACACGATGTTAGAAAATACTTCCAGGGACTGAAGAGAGAGCACAGAAAGCATGTCTTCTGTATGTAGCAGAGGTGGAGATCTCGGGGGGGGGGGTCAGGACCCCCTGAAAACGAATTACTGCTATGTAAGTCACTGGTACTGCATCCAGCCCCAGCCTGCCTCCATCTGCCCGGCCTGGACCCCCCCCCCCTGACATTTTGACAGGTCTCCACCCCTGGTATGTAGTGAGCATGACATAATTGGCTTTGCTTCCATGCTGCTCTAGGAATAATGTCATATACAAAACCTGATTAGTTTAGTGAATCATCATACAAACATGTGTATAAAAACAAAACAAAATGTCTCTTTTCCCTCCTGAAGCATTGAAGTAGTCCTGACAGCTAGTGTCTTTCATTAACAATTATGCATGTCTTCAGAGGCTGTCCGTACAAGATCCTGTTCCTGATCATCCTCAAGAAAATGTGGCTGGCACTTCTGCAACTGATCCCTGCCCGACCGTCCGTTGCCCTGATGGCAGCAAAGGTGAGGAATGCATTCGTATTGGTTCAACAAAATTTATATCTTATGGTTCCTTATGCTCGATGCTATTTGATCTGTGTATAAATTAGGTACGTGGAAGCTTGTTCCTTTGAAATAGGGACTGGCAGAGCTAGCACCTTTTGATATCTTGAACCGATTCGCATAGAGAAGGGAATCCCATTTACTTTTTTGTTAATTAACCCTTCCCAGCCAGGGGCTGCCATCACCGACTTTTTTGCAATTGACCATATTACAACAAAAAGTAAGAAATGTGATGCTGCTGACATTTAAATGTTGTGTTTGGTTGAACCTTACACCTTTTTTGTGACCACTTTCGCCAAAGGTATTAGAAAAAAAAATGATCTTCAGGTTGTTGACCTGACACAAGGGGTTAGCAGTTAGCATCGGGATATACCAATCGGGTGTATTTTTAGCTGTTTGCTGTTCAGGCCAACACACTCATATCCTTCTAACATATGAGAAGCGAAAGGGCAAAGTGTGCGGGTGGGGGGCGGTGCCCAATAGCTATTCGGCCGGGTTGTTGTTATTAAAGGGGATAAGGGTGTCAAGCGTTGGAGCTAATACATATTTCTTTTCGCAACTTTAACCGTAACTTGTTCATCTTCTTTGAAAAACACCGATTTGGCCAGACCCAATTTAGGTGTTGGTTCTCGCACTCAGCGAAGATGTTCACTATTTCCTGACCATATCCTTCCAGGCGGTGGAGGGCCCCCCCCCCTGGAGGGGGGGGGCAAAAAAATGCCCCCCGGGGGGCATTTTTTTGCCCCCCTTTAGTTTTTTTTTTCAATATATCTCCAGAACCGCTGCGCCGATCGTCACCAAACTTTCAGTACCCTCCCGGGAGTAGCTAGCGCACATGGTGACCAATTTTTTCCAAAGGCTATGATAGGTAAGCCGCAAATGACGTCAGAGTGACGTCATTTCTGCCATTTTCGACCAGAAAAAGGTTTCGCGGGAAGAGCTGTCAGGCCTATAGGTAGCTTTGAAGATACAGAAAAATGTTCAAGACATAAAAGGTGTAGAATCACCATGGCTACTAAACTGCTGTCTCGAAATTTCGAAATTTCTGAATTTAGACCCCCAAAAAACTTAAAAAAATTAATGTTATAAAAAAATCCAAAAAGTTTTTCGATTTTCGAAAAACGGAAAATATCTGATATCGAGTTCTATTCACTTACCAAATTTTAGATCGATATCTCGTTTTTTGGCCAAGTTATAGCGAAAAAACTTCAAAATTGATGACATCAAATTTTCAAACTCAATTTTTAGCAATTCTAGACCACGTAACGCAAAACAAAGACCATCATTAGACTCGCCGTGACAAGCTGCATCGAATCAATACCCATTTTTGGCAAAAATATCAACTTTGAAATTTGACCTTTTTTGACCTGACATTGACCTGACCACCAGAAAGTGACCTAAACCGTTCCTGATGGTCTTATAACTAACACCATTGAGTTTGAAATGAAAAATTGACCATAACTGATTAAGCCGGGTCTAATTAAAACAGAAAACAGCTCTCCTCTTCAGCAAAAGTGCTTCCTATTTCCTGACCACATTCATTTTATTGTCATTCACAGATCCTCTTCCTCTCCATGGCATCATCAAACCTCATCAACCCGATTCGTCACTGATTCCTGCACAAATTCTGGCAGGAAGGACTCTGAAGTTCCAAAAAGCTTGGTACGTTGAGTACCCCTGGATTCACTACAGTGAGACACTGAAAAAGGTGTTGTGCTTTCATTGTATGAAAGCTCATGCTTCCGGTGCCATGGCGACGGTGAAAAAAGCCGAACCAGCGTTCTCAGTTTCGGGCTTCAGTAACTGGAAAAGAGCGAAAGAAAAGTTCCTGGGACACGCAAAGTCTGATGCTCACTGCCATGCCATCATTGCGACCACGAAAACGATGAGGCCAGCAGATGAGGTAATCTCCGACACTCTGTCCAAGGATCAAGCTGTTGCTCGGGCATGTCTGTTGAAGCTGTTTACCAGCCTGATCTATCTCTCAAAGGAAGGCTTGGCACTACAGGGTCACGGAAAAGATGAAGGGAATTTCATCAGTCTCCTCAAACTTCGTTCAGAGGACAGTGCCGAGCTTCGATCGTGGATGAAGCGCGAGAAAAAGTTCACCCATCCAGACATACAAAATGAAATGCTGGAGATGTTGGGCCAAGAGGTTGTCCGAGGTATTACGAAGGAAGTGGCCGACGAGGAGCTCTTCGCCATCATGGTTGACGGCACACAGGATTGCGCGGGACTGGAGCAGGAAACTGTCTGCGTGCGCTATGTTGACAGTGAGTTGAACGTGCATGAGGAGTTTCTAGGCTTCTATGAACTGACTGAAACAACAGGTGAGGCGATCGCAAACATGCTGAAAGATGTGCTGCTGAGACTCAACCTGCCACTGGAGCACCTAAGAGGATTGGGGTTCGATGGAGCTGCGAATATGTCGGGGGTCTACAAAGGAGCTCAAGCGATCATCAGGAAGGATCAGCCATTGGCTGTTTTTGTCCACTGCGGGGCCCACTGCACGAATCTTGTAGTGAACGATGCGTGTGCGGCGTCCAGGTCCATCGCAAAGGCCCTCCAGAACGTGAATGAACTCGGTGTTCTATTCAAGGACTCAATACACTTCAGGAAAAAGTTCAAGGCCGTCTGTGACGGAACAGGAGAGGCGCCCATGGCGAAGCTTAGGCCACTCTGCCCAACAAGGTGGACAGCCAGGCTGGAAGCCGTGAACACCACGATCGAAATGTACGGTGAAATCGTCAAAACTCTGGAAGAACTGTCGCAGGGTCGCGGACACGTGGCTACGCGCGCTGGTGGCCTGCTAGAACAGATGAGGTCGGGGAACATGTACGTGTCGCTAGTAATGGCGCGTACGATGCTGGCGCCATTGGACCACTTGAGCCGTCGCCTACAAAGAAAAACCTGCACGGTGTCAGATCTCTCAGAGGGCGCCAGAGCCACTCGTGACTTCATGGCGGGTGTGCGCGAGTGTGCTGACGAGACAGTCAGCCGCGCGCTGCAGGCTGTTGAAGAATCGCCGCTGGAGCTGGAGGCACCAACTGTCCCAAGGCAGATCTGCCCACCAAAGCGTCTCACAGGCAACGCACCCGGCCACAAAGTGACCGGACCCCGAGAATTTTTCCGGATAGAGCTGGTGAAGGTGCTGGACACCGCCTGCATGCAGATCTCAGAACGGTTTGAGGGCGCTGGTGTGCGGCAGCAGGAGAAGCTCGAGAGACTTCTTTTGGGACCAGCTGACCTGACTCACCTGGAAACTGTGAAAAAGAGCATGGATGTGTGGCCAAATGATCTGGACCTGCATGAACTGTTTCCTCAGCTTCATGTTTTCAAAGCTGCAAAGAACTTCAGCTGCCTTGCAGAAGCCGGAACTGAATACCAGAGTATGTCTGAAGACTCACGGATGCTCTTGCCTCAGGTGAAAACCTTGCTGAAACTTCTGCTCCTTCCTCCTGCCAGCACGGCTACAGCAGAGCGCAGCTTCAGTGCTCTGCGGAGGCTAAAATCGTGGCTCAGGTCAACTATGGGTCAAACGCGCCTCAACGCCGTGGCCCTATGCCACGTTCATAAGGATCGCCTCGAAACGGTCGACATTCGTGCCCTGGCGGGGGAATTTGCTAGTAGGAATGATTCCCGTCGGATGATTTTCGGAAAGTTTTGAGGAGCTGATGTCCCCATACTGAACGATACGTGAGCGAATGATGTCTGGGCATCGCTCCGAGCGGCGAAGAGCCTCCGCCCTACCCCATCCGGGCTAACCCGTGCCCGGCCGCCCAACATTTGTTGGGTGGCCGGGCCGCCGGCCCGTCGCGCGGACCGCCTGTGGCCCGCGTGACGGGTCGGTGGTCAGGGGGCGCCGCCTCGCGTGGGTAGAGGTGCGAGGCGGCGTGGGCGGAGGCCGACGCTATCACCTGCAGTGAAGTGATACCCTAGATTGTGAATATCTATATTTGTGATGTATGAGTGCCAATCAGATGAAGGCATTGAAGCTAGCTGCAATAGTTTGAGAATGTTTGGGGCAGGGTAAAAAACGTTTGCATTGAAGCGCTGTTCTCGTAATGGCCAACATATGGTGAATACATATCGTGATATTGACTGGATTTTGTGGACTTAAAAAAAAAATCGTGCCAGGGCTATGACGAAAAATAAGTGGCCTAAATCCGATGAGAAAACACGATTTGGGGGTACCCTAGGTTTAGAGGAGACACAGGGCGATGAGCGAAGAATTGTCCCCCGTCCCCCCCAACCAAAAGTCCGTGGCGGAGCCCTTGCCTGTGGCCACAGAGAAAAACGATTACGAGTCCACGTGGTCACCCAATCGGTACCTATATCTACACGAGATGCATTGCAAGAATCATTTTGCCCTTAAGTGAAAGGGTACACTCACTCTGTATATCTCTCCGGGTTAAAAAGTTAGTTTTGAAGAGCGTCCTTACCTCTATCCGCGAAATTCAGCAGCCAGAAGAAGTCCACAGCAGTACCACAGCCAAACCACAGCACCGTCAACACAGTCAGGAAGATGGCGTCGCACGAGATTCGTTGCCGGAGGTGCACCGCCGGCAACGCGCATGCGCACGCGCATGCGCGGGAAGTGTATCCGCAGTTGGCGGGTGAAGGAATCCACCAGGCAAACTTGACAACCCGGTGTGAGGGAGTGCGTGACACTTATCCGCGCTATACATATATAATGAATCCGCCTGGCGAGAGTAACCGATACCTATCAATCCCGGATTTTCCCCGCTATCCGCCACCGTCGGCTAGCAACTACACGTAAAAAGTGTATCAAGCCCCTGTCAGCGCGGATTTATCTGTTGTTTCCAGATATCGCAAGCAGGTACCCTATCTACTCGCATGGTTCTACCCGCACTATGAGTGATTAACCCGGACGTACCTTACACTTAATTGAAGGATAACCCGCAACAGCCCGGCCAATTTGTTTTCAGTGCAGGAGGACGTAATGCTCAGTATGCCCCTACATACATTGGTCTTACCATGACCCCTACAATCACCACAGCCAACAGAATCTCCAGCTCTTATTCGACCCATCCTCGGGGATGACGTTGACTCTGACTTCAGAGTTGAAGTCTGTTACGATTTTGGTGACTCCAACTCCGTATCCGACCAAAACCGTCGACTACGACCGAAGTCGACTCCGACCCCGCAGTCCTGCAGAGCTGCACTGCAGTGCAGCTGCAGTGTACAGGGTGTTGCAGGTAAATTGGGAATTTTCAGACCTAATTTCAGCATGCTATTAATACGGTGAATGAAAACACAGAAAGTTGAAACTTCGCACGTGTATTGTGTCATGTACGCACAGCCTTGTCACTCGATGTGACCGCCGTCGGCGTCCCGCACCCTCTCGAGACGGCGCCGGAAAGCGGAGCACGCGCGCCGGGCCTCGTCCTGGTCAATGGTGCTGACTGCCTTCCTGATGGCCTTCTTCAGGTCAGAAACGTTGGCAGGAGTGGTCGAGTTGGACTTTTGTTCTACCACGCCCCACATCCAAAAGTCACATGGATTCAAGTCAAGCGAGTTGGAGGGCCATATGTCCTTGGGTACATATAGGGGGATCCTCTGGCTCAGGAAATCTTGCACCCTCTGGGAAGCATGTGCTGGGGCGGAGTCTTGCACCAGCATGACTTTGCTCAAGTCATAGTATTTCATCATCCAGGGGATGGGAGACTCCTTCAGGATGGTCAAATACGCGTCAGTGTCGATCGTCACACCAGCAGGCATGACATGGGGCGGCATTATGCGGCAATCAGTTGCGACGGCCCCGAACACCATTGCTGATGCCGGATTTTTGCCTTTCATCATGGGAGCCACTTCATCAGGGCTGTAGGCGATAGCCCGCGAGTTCCTGCGGTTGGCGACCTCTTCTACGATGAACTTTTTCTCATCGACAAATACTCTGACGTCACTCCCGAGGTGCTTGAGGAGATTGAGGACCTTCGGTGCCCTCTCCCTTCGTATCGCTCTTGCTGGTTCGGTCAGGAGGCTTCGTCGTTTTCTGGTAAACGACTTCATCCCGAGGTCCTCTCTCACGGCTCTGCTGATGGTGCTCTTGCTCACGTGACGGGCACGCGCAAGCTTGTTCATCGAGGTCCTCGGTTTGGCCTGTATCGAGCGTTTCAAGCCGCTCAGGAATGTCGGTGTCCGTTTTCGGTCACTGCGAGGTGTGTGAGAACGTCGAGCGACATCCCCTCCAGCTCCTACAGTCGCGATAGTTCGGTACACGGTAGACTTTGGGTACCCAGTTAAACTTATTATGTCCTTCGCGCTCTGTCCGGCGCGAACTAACTCACCAATCGTTTCCCTCCGACGCTGCTCCATGACTGCGCGATATGTTAGGATTAAAATTTCAATATCAAATGAAAAACAATTGTTGAAATTATATTGTGTCAAATTTCCATGATGTTCCTCCGCATACCAAATTTTTTGTAAGGTCATGAACTTAGTCCCAATTTATCTGCAACACCCTGTAGCTCTACATCTGCACAGAAGTTGGAAAAAGCTGTACCTATGGTTGACAGCGGTTTACAGAGGACCACACGATTTTTTAGAGGCAGGGCTGCTGGACTTGGTGACCAGACCCTAACTGTCCTGGTATCAAACTTATTAGGCGGGATTCAAAATTTATGCGTTTTGGGACTGTTTTGCCAAGAGTTTTTGCCAATTTTCGCGGCGCTTCGCGCCGCCAATTCATGCACAGGTAGAAAAGAGTGTGACTAATAACGCCTCCACGCGAGAACATGAGAACATGTGTATTGTGTATGCGTTACAAGTAGTGCATAGGCCTGAAATTGTACGGTAAACTAACTAACTTTTGGGTTTTTAGTCAGCCAATCCGTCCCCCCAGTCAAAAATCCGTGGCGACGCCCCTGTCCTCAATGCGAAAAACATAGGTTTGCTAAGCAGTAAAGTCCTGCAAATCGGCTTAAGTTGGTGGGGCAAAACGCTTATTGGTGGGGCAAAATGGCAAGTTGGTGGGGCAGGCGCCCCACTAAGTGAATAGGAAGCTCCACCCCTGGCTCAGTGAACTACGTTTTATCTGAACTAGTAAATAGGTAACTACCCAGCTGCATTTAGTCGAAAATTAGAAACGCTGATGGACAGGACAAAGAAAGAGTTAGAAATGAATTGCCAAAAAGGTCATCAAGATGTTTTTTTCAATTTCTGGCTAAACCTCACCACATGATAGCATAATCTCCTCGGTTAATGTCCCCAGCAGTCACCCCGCTTCTCTATTGCCGGTCATCGGTCGGTGGACCGCACGGTGGGTCGGTCGGTCGCGTGCGGGCCGTTGCCCTCAGCTGCGCCGGCCGCTCGGTCCCCGCGGCGGCACGGCGGCCAGACTCGGGTTTCGGTGTTTCGTGCCGACTGCCAGGTGCCAGCTCAACCCCCTCGCACTGCTGGCGTGACCACTGCCTGACCAGTGACCACTGCCTCGCCCAGCCAGCCCTCCATAGCAGTGGCTATATAGTTTCATTCAGCCTGGATGCGGTTTACTGTACCGTAAGATCTGTTGTGGATGCAAGGGTGCCAGTTGAAGAGCTACCATGATGTATTTTTTTTTTGTTATTGGATCAGCTGCTTTGGGAGGTCTAACCCTGTCTGGTTCCGAGACACCTTCTGATCTCGTCTTGACAAGCGATCTGGGAGCCTCTGCTGCACCGGTCGGCTCCCTGCCTGGGTTGTAGCGTGCTCCTTACTGCCCCGGTGCAGTTTCGGCGTGCCGAGGACGGGCGTTTTACGGCGGCTGCCAAGGCCGGCGACCGATGGATCCACTTCCTGACGGAGGCCTGATCAGCCATGAGCGCCGTCCACTCGACCCGCACTCAGCGATCCTACAGCAGATAGCGTGCGCAGCTGCCCGTCCCAATGCCAAAAACTGGTGGGCCATTGGGCAACTGGTGTGGCCCGGCCCGGCGCGGCGCGGTCCCGGCTATTACAGAGCCCTGCGGCAAGCCGGGACTCTCATCAGCTGCTCTCCGGAGTCACCAGCTGCCTACGGGGTCACCGGAGTCGCACATGTGGGCTCTACAGCTGCTGCTGTTGGGTCACCAGCTGCTTCTGGGGGCTGGCCAGCTGCTCCTGTCGGGTCCTCAGCTGTTCTCACGGGTCTGTGAGTCACGTGGACCACTTAGCCATTTCGCTGATAAATCTGCCCGCGGCTCTACCGGCCGGTGGTTTGGCCGTAGCGGCCGGCTGATTGGTTGAGCTGAAGTCCCCCGGCGCTGCCAGTGTCAGGTCAGGGGTGAGCTCAGAGGTCAGTGCGGCTGAACGGCCGCCGCGCGAGTGCTGGAACTGTCGGGGAGGCGACCACCGAGTGACTGCGGTCGGTGTGGGGGTGCGGTCACCGCTCACCCCTGACCTCTGACCAAATACTGCCCAGCGGCGACCAGTTATAGATAACCGCAGGCTGTTTGAAATAGACAAACACTATTCGTTAGAATTGTGTTTTTCTATTGATTTGATATCTAGGTGCATTGTGACCGATTGGCGGTGACTCACAAGAACTCTGAGATTTGAAAAATTTGTAAACCGATACCAAATAAAATACCAACGAAGCTGTTGCAGGCAATGATAGCTTCAGTTCAATGATGGCTTGAGATGCCACATTTCCAATCGGCATTGGCATGTTATTGGTCTTACAAAACTTCGGTATCTGATTGAAATTTGTGCCTAGCGACGACTATTGTTACGTAACCAGCAGTGACCGGTGAAGCGCTGTGACCTCTGAGCAGAGGTGACCGGTGACCTATGACCTATGTTGACCTATGATGATATGGTGACCTTTGAGTAGAAGTGACCTGCGGTGACCGGTGACATATTTTTGATAAATAATTGGTTATGACCTGTAACCAGTGACTTGTGAGCCATGGCCGATAGGCTGGCTTCTCGACCCCTGTTTTGGATCATTGCCCCCACCTCGCAACCACAGACCCAGCAAATGGGCTCTAGCTCTCACAGTCTCCACACAGTAGGTATACTTACTCTGAGTATAGCCACCAACATGTATTGCTCACTATCTTCGCGAAGGCACACATTCGAGGAAAGTCCTCCGTGGGTGATGTCAATGCTGCATGCCATGTCAGATCATTGCTGCAGTTTGGCGACGGTGCAGTGCTGGCACCTGTTTGGCGGCACGGCGGCGGCACTGCCAGTCCGTCGCCACTTGCGTGCAACCGTCGCGTGGCAGGGCTGGTATATTCGTGTACATGGCACATGAAAAGTCTAGCAAACTTCCCAAGGAGTGATGGTCTGCCATGTTTGGTGAGCTTTGGTGTTTTGCTGTCTTGGCGGGGTCGTCGTGCAGTTGATATGGATCACTTATCGATGATGCAACAAGCTGCGATGACTTATCGGAGGTGTCTTAGGAACGTTCAGGGATGTTTCTATTGCGCCATCCTCGTGTACGGAACGTATACGTTCCGTAACGGCCTAACCTCCCTGATCCCTAAAGGCCTAACTGCAGCGGTCTGGGTGCGACGATATGACTGCTGAGTTTGATCGCTCAAAGTTGAGTGCCTTCCCTTTTGGTTGTCACGCAGGGCTACCTGCAGTACTGGCGCGATAACCCGGCGCGTGGCCTCCGGGACGGCCACAAGGAGATCCTGTTCGGCAACTACCGCGACATCTACCTCTGCAACAGGTCAGTGAGGACGTGGCAGGCACCAGTAGCAGCGGAACACCTTCAAAACCCGCGCCCCGTAGGGGGGGGGGGGCGAAACGGCCCCTCCCTGTCCTTTTCCGTCGATATCTCCTAAACGGTTAGAGATATCGCCACCAAACTTTCAAAACCCCTCCGAGCATCAATTTTACACATTGTGACCAAAATTTTTTTTCCAGAGGCTATGGTAGGTCAGCCACAAATGACGTCAGAATGACGTCATGTTCTGTCATTTTCGACCGAAAAAGAACTTCGCGAGAAGATCTGTCAGGCCTACAGCTTTGAAGATACAGAAAAATGATCAAGACATAAAAGGTGTAGAATTGACAGGGCTACAAAACTGCTATCTCGGACTTTGGAGATTTTTGAGTTTTGACCCCCAAAAATCAAAAAAGCATTTTTTTATATATTAGCCGAAAAATCAAAAAAGTTTTTTTTGAGTTTCGAAAAATACGGAATATATGTAATAGTACCTACCGTCTTCTATCTACATACCAAATTTCATATCCATACCTCGTTTTTGGCCAAGTTATAGCGAAAAACTGTTCAAAAATGATGACGTCAAATTTTCGAACTCCATTTTTGGCAATTCTAGACCTCTTAGAGCAGAACAAAGACCACCATTAGACTCCCCGTGACGAGCTGCATCGATTCGATACCTATTTTATGCAAAAATATCAACTTTGCAATTTGACCTAATTTGACCTGACCTTGACCTGACCTTCACCAAAATGTGACCCAGGCTGGCCCCAAAGGCTGCCTAACCCACATAATCGCATTTGTCATGTAAAATGGACCATAAAATATGTATCACACCACACTTTCATATTGTGACCCCCGGTGACCTGACCTCACTGTGACCTGACCTGGTATCAGTGACCTCAGATAGCAAAGTATGTGTTTGACGAACAATGTACCATCGATGGTTTTCATAAATTACCAATTCACTCGATTTCACAACACATTTCTTGAAATGCCTGTGAACGGTGAAAATCCGACCTTTGACCTGACCTGTGACGTCATCGGTTTGACCTAGGTCAATGAAATTTGGTCACAAGGTAGTTCCTCGGTGGGGCTATCGAACACCGTTTGAATGTTGAAAATCGGCCGGTAAATTTCCGAGATATTAGGGGGAGCCAAAACGGCCCCTCCCCTACGGGTGGTAGGGTCCGCCGATAGCCCTACGGGGCGCGGGTTAAGGGGGGGGGGGGGCACTGACGACTTTTGGTCCCATTCATTCCATGCAACGCCTTTAGCGCTAATGTTAAAATGCCAAAATCAAAGGGGGAGGGGGGGCACGGTGCCCCGATGCCCTCCCCGTTCCGCCGCCTATGGCAGGCACCTTCAGACGAGTTGCAAATACACGAACTTTCGATGTATTCTTGTAATTTATTTTCTTGTTATTTATGATTTGTATTTACAGGAATATGGATAAGACACACTAACCTGACGTCGACCATCACTCTAGGCCAAGACCATTCATTTACATAGGCATCCATACATCCATAGCGTGTGCACACAGCATGGATGACTTAAATGACATTAAAATGAGCGTCGCTAGCACTTCTACCAAGCGCTGTCGTTTCAGTGACTTGTAGCCTGTAGGCGACCGTTTGGTTTCTGTTTATTTCTTATTCCTGGCAGTTATGGGCAGCTGCCTGCACTCGATCACCGGGCAACATTCACGCGTTGTTCTTTTCAAGGTGAACTCTGTAGTTACTGTGGTTGTGTTTCTGTGGCGTCATAAGCATTTTTTTGCGGTGAAAAGCAAAACCAAGGCCCTAAGCAAAACCATGACATAAACATACAGCGGTGACAAATTCAGATTCCTTTTCCAATTTTCTTAATTGCATTGAATGCAATGCTGAAGCATCGGTTATTTTTTATTGCATTGTTTTTGATCATCATATCTAGCCCACCGACATGGCTTCAAAGTGGTCCAGCTCGCTACGAAAAAAATATCCGGCGTTTTCATAATGCCTTTTGGTACCGCACATGACCAACAATGCACGTCATTGTGCATTGAGGCCTTGCATGGACTGCACGTTTAATTACACTATTATTCAGTCCGACGAACGGTTGCGTTATTTGACTGCATCTTCTCCGGACTGTCCAGTCAGACAATGAAGACATTGTGACACGTAGCACGCGCCGCCATTTTTCTGTAGCGCGCCAGTTCAGGTAACGGTGGCCTGTTGATGAACCTGTTTGACCCAAGCATGTAGCTCTTTTGGAGGCGCCGTGTACGTAACGTGATCCAACAGCTGTAGTTGACATTTCAACAGTCTTATTGACGATTATCAGGTGTTACGTAATTGTCTTATGTCTGTCATTGAGGTGTATCGGTCCCCCCAGCCCATGTGTTGATCTGTGTTTGTTTCCAGTGCGTTTCTGCTGGAGCTGCAGAGGTGCCGAGCCGACCCTCTGAGGGTGGCCAAGTGTTTTGTCGCCCACCAGCTGAGGTTCGACGTGTATACCGACTACTGCACCCACTATCCCAGGTGAGCCTGCCAGACTCATACCGCACAGCACGCACTATCCCAGGTGAGCCTGCCAGACTCGTACCGCACAGCACATATACTATCCCAGGATGAGCCGATGTGCCAACTGCGCAGCATGCACTTCCCAGGCAAGCAGAAGTGCCGGACTGTCATAATATGAATTCACAATGCTACGTATCTGGAATTGGTAACCAGTGCTGAATAGTTGGAATCTGCCCTATAAACAATTGTTTGTCCTTTTTTATTTGTTTTCATCCGCGATCCAAATAGGGCCGAATTTATCGTGCCACAACGCTTTAGTCGACGGTGTAGGCGGCGAGCAGAGCTTTCCCTATTTGTTGAATTCTGCAGAGCGCGGCTCATTATCATCATCATCATCATCATATATTTTTTGCGTCACATGGGAAGTAAGTAAGAAATAGAAAACATCAGAAATCAGAAATCAGAAATCGGCTGGAGGACAAATGCAGCGCAGCCTTCCGTCAGAATTTTACCGAGCCGGTGGATCGGCCCGTCAGCTATACCTAAACACAACAAGGACAAAGAGCGCCCTTGAGGCTCGAGTAGTCCGCTGGGGGCATCGGTGAGCGGACTCCGAATGTCGCGTGTAGTAGCGCGCCAAATATCGGCGCCATTCTGAGTCAGCGCGGACGGGAGGATTCCCGGTCAGTCATTCCACCGATATGTGAGGAATGACAGGTGGAATGATCAGAGCTATTCTAAGATGACGATATGAACTGTCAGGAGCCTTGTTTAGAGGACATTGCGACTTATTCGCCAATGTTCCGCTATAATATTACCTAAACGTTGAATAAGTTGATGCGGCTTAACGTATACGTGTTATGAATGCGAAATAATGCGAATGCAGCATTCGAATAAGATATAAGGGAAACTATGGCTATGGCATGGAATAACATATTGTCCTTATTGTGCAAAATTGAAAATTAAATAGCATACTGCGATTCTGGTATCGTCTTTCTTGAGAAATGTTTTGTTGAGAAGAAAAGTGCGTGATGAGAGGACCCTCGAGAGTGCCCGAATACCATATATGTAAAAGCCGTTACTAAACACGCGCACTCTGTCGGCCGTGAACACCGTTCCCGCAGTCCAGCCGTGGATTGGATACCGCCGCAGTGCGTCGGCCGCCGCTGCAGGTCGACTTTCGCTCTGCTCGTGAAATGAATAGTAAGCGATCGTCGATCGAACTACCCGCGGGCTGCCGGCGTCCCGGTCCAATGTGCGCCAATCACGCCTCCAATTTGGCAATCTTGCGTCCCTTCTTCGCTATTTCCACCGCTGATCTGCACCGTTTAGCGGTGAAAAGGGTGCTTTCTAGATGGATTTCTTTCTGGCCGTCTCGGACTGGCGAGGCGCGCTCGTTTCTGCCGCCGGCCGTAGCATTGCTTCCCTCTTTCTCTCTGTGGTGGTTAGAGTGATGACAGTGATGTGATTATCAGAGGGATGTGATAATCAGAGTGACGTGGTGATCAGGGTGATGATAAAGCACCAGAGTGATCAGATGATTCATCATACACTCTCATCAGTGCAATGTGCTGATTGTAGTGAAGTGTTGATCGGGGTGAAATAAGATCAGACCGAACCGCCACAAGAGCCGCCTGTTCGCTAATGCTTCTTCGTCTCACGAGACAAATGTTCGTTCGTTCAAAGATGCCCCTTTGATATACGGAAGTGTCGGCCAATGTGTGAATCGTCAGTAGCGTCTTGCCAGAAGTTGCCGGTTAAAGGGAATAGTTCAGCTCTCCGAAATCAGTTTTTTTGCAATGGTTTTATGATTTTTTATGTTAAAAATGATCAGCAAATACTTTTTTTGTATAAAAAATTATTTTCTATACCTATTTTAATTTAGGAAGAACTAGGTACCTATATTCTATATAAAATATTGTTTGACGATGAGACTTATTACTACTCGTTGATCAATATTCAATCATGTTGCGTATAGTTCAAACCCATTGGTTGTAAGCAGCATGCTGATTGGCTGGCGCCAAGCTGAGGCTGAGGTGGCTGCATTCTGGGTATTTCTTCATCACTTTCTTGTTTAGGACACTCTTTTCGGAACGAGAAATGGAATATCTTTGCCTAAGGGTGATGGTTGGACCGTGTAAGCTTTCGATTTGTGGTGGTCTCAACTCAAGCTAAAAAACTGCTATTCCAGTTCAAAACTCCATGGTAAAAGTGAACTATTTCCTTTAACCCGCGCCCCGCTGCATCGACTGCGGTCTGCGTATAACGCGCCCTACTGGCCCAATCACTGGGGCACTTGGCCCAATCTCACCAAGTTAGTTAAACTTAATTTCGGGGTAGTATTTTTGTAGTTATGGAGTGGGGTAGTCTGGTATTTTACTCCAAATTGAGTTTACCGCACTTGGTGAAACTGGGCGGGGGGGGGGGGCTCTTCATAGCCCCCCTCCTAACTCCGAAACTACTGGACCGATCGTTCAAACGGTGTCTGATAGCCCCGGAAAAACTGTCGAGCGAAACCTAATTTCATTGACCTCGAGGTCACCGATGACGTCACAGGTCAGGTCAAAGTAAAAATTATTAGCATTTTGGCTTATTCATATTTTGGGCTTTGGCCGTCGTCTTAGAAGTCAGATCAGGCTCATTTTTGGTTTACACACTCGTGAACAGATGCTTTAGATACCCTGATGGTACCAAACTTGTACTTTGATTTTCAGGTCAGGGTCAGGTTATCACAGGTCACCGAAATATTATATCATGCGTCGGTCACGTGACACATGTTTTATGGTCCATTTAGGCCATACATTTAGAACTTGATGATGCCGTTTGTGTTATTCGAAGTCATTTTGAGTTGAATTTAGCTTAGGTCAGGTCACTTTCAGGTAAAAAAAAGTCAAATTTGAAGTTAAAATTTTTCAACAAGAAGGGTGTTTATTGGATGCAGTTTGAGCTCAGGAACACGATGATGCTATCTATATTGGTGTACCGTAAAGTGGGGCTATTTGAGACAGTGGGGCTATTTGAGACAGTATTTAAAATCACCATAAAATGAAGGGCATTTGATTTCTATGTGATATTTTTGCTCAGCAAGGTGTGGGATCGAGCAGTAAATCGCCTGAGCAAAAATTAAGCATAAATTTCAAACGGTTTTTATTTCATAACATTTTTAAATACTGTCTCAAATAGCCCCACTGTCTCAAATAGCCCCACCTTACGGTACGATGTCAAATACGTCTTGAAAAATTGGTTTGAAAAAATTATAATTGCGAATTGTTTGCAATAATGCTTATAGCTTGGACATTTTTTGAAGACATTTAACCCTCGCCGGACCTATTGGTTTTCTACATACGCGCCGGCCGAGGGGGGGGGGGGCGGGTACGACCCCCCCCCCTCGCCGTTTCGCCCCTGGTGGAGCTAGCGCGTCGCGGAAAAAACGAGCGTGTGCGCCGTTACGAGACGCAGAGATTGGTACCCGATTTTAAGGTCCTAGGTCAACCGGTGACCTCTGAGGTCAGGTCAAGTGCCCCAGGGTACGGTTCAGTTTTTGGTGAATAACTTCGCAAAAAACGGCCGCAGAGCGCCGATTTTGGCAGCATCGTGTTCTCCTCGCTCAGGCGCGTCGAATGATATACTTTTTGTCCGGGTCAGGTCAACTTGGGGTGTTGACCTCAGGTCAAGGTCAGGTCAGCACCCCCAGGTCACGAAGTTGGTCGAAAGAGGTCATGTCGCATATCATTCGATTCGGCAGGCCTTCCTGAGTCCATTGGTGCCTTTCCCGACTCGCTAGCTCAATTTGATCAAGAGTTATTGACGAAAAACTAATTTGACCTTGATGACGTCATAAATGACGTCACGCAAGGTCAACATTGCAAAAGTGACGCATCTAACCTTGCAAGGAGTGCATCAAATCACGATTCCGTGTGCTTGAGATAGTTGGAGATCGTTCCCGGCGCCAGAATAGCAGTTTGAATTTTTCCCCATTGACTTATAATGGTGAGGTCACGAAAATGACCTGACCTCATATGACCTTTAGGAAAAATCCGAGATATACAAGTTGTGGGACTCATAATGGATACTAGATCCTGCAAGTTTCATTTCCCTGTGACATCTCCTCTGGCAGTGAGGGCGTTGCGAAGTTGCGACATCTGAAGACCGTGCAGAGGTTCACTTATGACGTCATAGGTCAGTGACCTGACCTGACCCAAAAATGCGGTTGGTGTCAAAAGATCCGGCTTGGATCAAAGGTCAGGTATGCCAAGTTTCAGCTCTCTATCGCCAGCGTGTTCGGAGCTATCGCGAAAAAACCCTATGGGGGGGGGGGGCGGCACCCGCCCCCCCCCCTCGGCCGGCGAGGGTTAAAGGGACTATCCCACCTTTAACATGGGGTTTGAGTTGAGATAGCCAAGTTTGCGGCGAGGTTCAGAAACCACTATCTATCTAGATTGCAACCCCCGCGGCCTCTTGGTGTTGAAGAAATTCGTTCCCTTCATTTGAAAATGGGCCTTGCACAAGGCCCTATCTTCAACATGGAGCGACCGTTAGTGTGACGTCACCTCGTTTAGTCATTCTGATTTAAATGGGTTTGTTCGTTGAAAAATCGCTTAAAACTTGGTGTGAACTTTGTTGTAGTGCCTACAGAGTAAAAAGAATCAGCTTTATGACAGTAATGTGGCCTGGGGAAGGAGGTAATTTTGGGCTGTGACGTCACATATTTGAAAGTTTGTGTTTGGAATATGGGAAGCCTAAGATGTTTAATGAAAAATAAATGCCAGAACCGTGTTCCTGGTCATCTAATCTATAAAGTCGGGCACAATTTAACTGGTTTTAACAACATTTTAGAAGGTGGGATAGTCCCTTTAAGGCTGAAATAGACTCTTTCCGCGTTCAGGAAATCGCATGCGAGAGCCTATTCAAATACATTATAATTCTTCCCGCATCAATCGCATCCGGGAGGTGCGTGCGATTGATGCGAGCGTGCTTCCATGTATTGGAATAGGCTCTCGCATGCGATTTCCTGACTG